TATCTAAGGAAAAACTGTTGGTAGCACATCGGTGCCCGTTTAATATTTCCATGGAAATGTGCAGTGGCGAGCCTTTTTAAATCATTGATGTAATTTTTAATCTTTTCAGGGTGGGGGAAGCCAGCCCTTCAGCAGCCTTTCATTTTGATAGGCAGAGTCGAGCTTGCCCATATTTCTCATTTTAATTAATGTAATTAAAGGGGGATAAAAAGGCTGTGTTGAAAATTTGTGCATTTGATTATTGGGATCAAGAATAATTAAAATGTATGAAAGGTGGCAGATTCCTAAGATGATAGGCAACAAGAACAGGCCCCTTTTTGGGATTTCAAGGAGGCCAGATGGGTTTTTTTTTTTTTTTTCTGCAAGATTTAGAAATGTCCATGGTCGGAGAAGCATTCATAATATTTCATAATGATTCATAATCTTTACATACAGACAGAAAAGATTTCTTTATCCTTTGGTACCGGGAGACTCATTCTTTTATTTCAAATCAGAAATGATTTTATCATTTATGGGAGCACCAACCTCCTCTTGCTCTCTTCTTTGAAAACCAAGCGGGAAGTAACATTGATTTGGCACCTACTGTATGCCACGTTATCTACAAAGAACTTTATATCCTTCCCTTCGTTCACCTGATCTTCCCTGATCTTTTGCTAGAGAGGTGTCTACATGTCATTGATGGGGAGACTCAGGCTTAGAGGAGCCATTACCTCCCAGCTGCAGGACATTTGTGTCGCAGCTAGGAGGTGAGAGTCGCATTTACATTCACGGCTTTTGGTAGGGCTATTTTGATGCAATGCCCTGCCTGTTGAAGGGGGTAGATCTTAAGCCTGAATGGAGAAGTAGGCAGGAACCGCTGGGGGTATCTCTCTGGAGCATCTCTTTTCTGCAAAGGTAGCTCCCCCGTCTGCTGCTTCTCTACCTGAGATCTAGAAGTTTCATGCATCTCCAGTATTTATTTTCTACTGGGTTTGTTGGGTTGGCTGTTTTTGCTTGAAAGATAATAAAAATAGAGAATGTTGTCTTCTCTCTGCTGGGATGAAATGGATGCAGCTTTGATTTCTGGTTTTCATTCAAAACAATCATCAGGAATTTTTTTTTTTGGGGGGAGGGGGCGGGTGTTGAATATTAAACATTCCTTTGAAGCCAGGTATGGTGGCACACGCTTGTAATCCTAGTGGCTCAGGAGGCTGAGGCAGGAGGATCTCGAGTTCCAAGCCAGCCTCAGCAATGTAGCGAGGCCCTAAGCAACTCAGTGAGACCCTGTCTCCAAATAAAAAATTTGAAAAAGAGCTGGGGATGTGGCTCAGGGGTTAAGTGCCTCTGGGTTCAATCCCCAATACCAAAAAATAAAAATAAAAATAAGTTCCTTTGATTTAAGACACTCTAAGTTTAATAGATTGTGTTTCATTTTGATTTTTTTAAAAAATGCTACCTGCAGTACTCTTTTTTTTTTAAATATATACTTTATTTTGCTTATATATTTATTTTATGCGATGCAGAAGATTGAAGCCAGTGCCTCACACATGCAAGGCAGGCACTCTACCACTGAGCTATAACCCCAGCCCTCATTTTGATTTTTAATATCTTGACATAACAAAAATAAAAATTGACAGCTGTCATAGACCTCAGAGGAGTCCCTCGGGATGTTTTTCCTCTTCTTCCTGGGTGTCCACTTCTGGCCTCCTTGGCCCACGAGGGATTTGATGGATCAAAGTGATGTTTTCATCTCTAAGCTGAGTCACATCAAAACCTACGCAGTCCTCTCTTCTTCTGTTGCTATAACTTCGAAATTAGGGGTTGCTATCATAGGAGGATCTTGTGACTACAAGGAGGAAGCTGCATTACTGAGTCACTGCTGAGAAAGCCTTGAGTGAGAAATCAATAGTGCTTTTGTTACACCACTGAGACCTGGGATTGGTTGTTACTGCAGCACAACCTAGTCCTGTCTGGCTAATGTGACAGTTCTTTGTCAGCCTCCTTCCCACCTTTACTTTACTGGGTTTTGAAATCATTTCAGAGAACCACTCTTGAGCAGATTATTTGAAAGTGCACACAAAACTCAACACTGTGTACTTTTTAAGATGAAAATAAACTTCTGTGAACCTGATTGGATGAGCCGTTGAAACATGTCAGTAGGATCTCACCATAGCCAGGCCTGCAGGTAGCAATCTAAGCCAGCTAGGACTCGGGCTGCTTTTACTTTTTTTTCATGCTCTCCAAAACCAAAATACTGTCACTTCTTTGAGTGACTACACCATTCATGTCATCTCAGTATCCAAATGTCTTCCTTAGGTCCAAGTGAAATCTTAAAATTCATTCCTTCTGATCTGGAGACTACCATGCTAAGTGAAAAAAGCCAATCCCAAAAAACCAAAGGCCCAATGTTCTCTCTGATATGCGGATGCTGACTCACAATAGGGGGAGGGGGGGAGAATAGAAGTTCATTGGATGAGACAAAGGGAATGAAGGGAAGGTTGGGGATGGGAATGGGAAAGACAGTGGAGTGAATGGGACAGAACTTTCCTATGCTCATATATGAACACACGACCAGGGAAATTCCACATCATGTCCAACCACAAGAATGGGGTCCTAATTAGAATAAGTCATTATCCATACATGTGCCATATGTCAAATGCACTCTGCTGTCATGGATAACTATAAAGAACAAATAAAAGGAATTCGTTCCTTCTTACTATCTGCCTACAGAAACAGAAATTGGAAATGGCCTCTTACACCCTTGCTGGAAGCCCCTCCCCTGGGAGGTCACTGTCCTTGTCACCACTCACCCTTCTCTGTAAGCTAACCAGCAGAGACTCACTTAACCTTCCTCCTAATCCTCTAACAAGATCCTACCCGGTGCCGGCTGGGATGGGAAGATGATCTGATTTTCCAGCTCCTGGGGAGCTGCCTGCCTGTCACTCCCGCCCTTGTCCTGTGGACACTGTTGATCTGTCTTGTGCCCATGCAGACATGGCTTTCTATTTTCTTTCTTTTTTTATTTAAAAAAATTTTTTAGTAAATAAATTAACCTACATATGTACTTAGAATATACCCGTCACCTACGGAACACACTCAGTGACCACTGGTATTACTGAACTTCACAAAATGAGCTACTTGGAAACCAGGCACCCACTAAATATTTTGCTGTATTCCTTGCCAGAAAGTATGCTTTCTCATAATGGAAAGGAAATCAACAGCGGCTGGGGAGGCTGAGGCAGGAGGATGGCGAGTTCAAAGCCCTTAGCGAGGCCCTAAGCAACTCAGTGAGACTCTGTCTCTAAATAAAACATGAAATAGGGCTGGGGATGGGGCTCAGTGGGTAAGTGCCTCTGAGTTCAATCCCTGGTACAAAAACAAAACAAAACCACCCAAATAAATCAATCAATTAAATAAAGTAAATCATTATTACCACTGTGAAAAATTTGGAAAAGACAGATCAGTATAAAGGGACTAAGAACAGGCAACCATAACAGTAACAAGTTAAAGAAGAATAACAAAACCTTTTTACTTTGGGAAATTTTAAACATCTGCAAGAATAAAAAGAAGGATGAATATAGAATCTTCATGTTCCCATCAGTCACATCCCCAGCCTGTTTATGTATTTTATTTAGAGACAGGGTGTCACTGAGGCCTTGCTAAATTGTTGAGGCTGGCTTTGAACTCGTGATCCTCCTGCCTCAGCCTCCAGAGCCACTGGGATGACAGTCATGGGCCCCCGCGCCTCATCTCATTGCACCGCCTTGGATTCTACATTTGTGCTTGCACTTTCCCCACATCTTGGCGCCCTCCCTCCGCCCCCAGGTCACTTTCTCTAGCTGCTAAAATCTGACCTTGGCGCTTTCAGCTCTCTCTTATGGCTTCTGGGTTTTGTGACACATACCTGTCATCCCCGCAACTTGGGCAGTGGCTAATGCAGAAGGATTCAAGTTAGAGGCCAGCCTCAACAATTGAGCAAGGGCCTGAGCAACTCAGTGAGACCCTGTCTCTAAATAAAATACAGAAAAGGGCTGGGGATGGGGCTCAGTGGTTGAGTGCCCCTAGGTTCAATCCTTGGTATCTGGGAAAAAAAGAAATGGATTGGCTTAACAATTTTTTTGACTTTTCAGTGGCACAAAAGCCATATGCACCCAGTTAAAAGTGCACTTTCAATTTTGCACTTTGATATATTCCCCCATTACTGATAAGTAGTTTGATGCTCTCTTGCAATCCAGGGCAGCAGCAGTGAGCTCCCAGCCGGCCCTGCGATCAAGCCCACACCCTCCCCGGTGCTGCGCTGCCAAGTCTCCATGCTGGTTAGGTGAGCTGTGTCAAATGCACTCTCCATGATGCTTTCAGCTTGCAGAGGTTTATCTCAATGTCACCCCTCCACGTCAAGGAGCATCTGCAGTTGTCTCGCCCTGGTTTACAGCTTCAGAGGAAGAGGCCCCCTGTGCCTCTTGGTTGTTTTAACAGCCTTCTTTCCTGGTTTCAGGGGGTTTGTTGAATCTTATAGCAAAGGGCAGGTCAAGGGCTCCCCACTCATTGGATGCGTGAACTTGGAGACTTGCCCTGGGACAGGGGCTGATTTTGCCCAGGTCTCTACTCACTTCCTGTTCAACTTTACCCAGACAACTAAGTGGTGCCAAAGATAACCTTGGAAGCCTCCTTTCTTTACCAACAGCTGACATCAGCTGAGTGCATCTCCTTTGATTTCCCCCAAGAGCCCTATGAGGAGGAGCACTATTCTTTTTTTTTTTTTTTTTGGTACCATGGATTGAACCCATGGTCGCTTAACCACTGAGACACATCCCCAGCTCTTTGTCAAATTTTATTTAGAGACAGGGTCTTGCTGAGTCGCTTAGGGCCTCACTAAGTTGCTGAGGCTGGCTTTGAACTTGCAATCCTCGTGCCTCAGCCTCCCAAGCCACCGGGATTGCAGGTGTGGGTCACTGTTCCCGATATATATATATATATATATATATATATATATATATAGTTTTTAGTTGTTGATAGACCTTTATTTTATTCATTTATATGTGCTGCTGAGAATAGAACCCATCGCCCCACACCTGCCAGGCAAGTGCGCTACTGCTGAGCCCCAGCCCAAGCCCCTGCCCAGTTCTTAAATGACTTTTTGGTGGCTCTTGAGGCCTGGGGACGTCCTCTGCTTCCCCACCCTCTCTGAATTCTGTGCCATGGAGACCTGAGGCAAAGCGTTACTCATGGGCTTATCTCCCATTTCTCCTGGTGAAAAGTTATTCCAGGTCTCATGATTTTCTCCATGAAAGGCCCTCTGTGTCCCAGAGAGAAGCATTCTGAAAGAAGTTATGAAGCATTATTAACACAATTACATATAACAAAAGACATAATTTGAATTCCCCACATCTGACAAAGACATTCATGGGAGGCGGCAGGAACTCCAGCTGCCCGGGGAGAGCTCATCCGAGTGGGTGCTGCAGGCGGGGAGTGTGGGCGACAGCTGAGCTGACTGCTTTGTCCCGGGGCACTGGGGCGCTTCTGTACAGGCTGGACCACACCTCTGTCCCCGCCAGGCCCCTCCCTGCCCTCCCCTCACGCCCACAGAGCTTCCCCAGCACTGGCAGGGCTCACCTGGCCCAGGAGACGGCAGGCCACACTGAGGGGACCAGATATATATATATTATTAGTTGTTCAAAACATTACATAGCTCTTGACGTATCATATATATTTTTCGTATACTTTGTTCAACTTCTCTAGCCATTAGGGAAATGCAAATTAAAACTACACTGAGATTCCATCTCACTCCAGCCAGAATGGCAATCATCAAGAATATAAGTAACAATGAATTTTGGCGAGGATATGAAGGAAATGATACATGTATACATTGCTGGTGGGACTGCAAATTGGTGCAACCAGTATAGAAAGTAGTGTGGAGATTCCTCAGAAAACTTGGAAAGGAACCACTATTTGACCCAGTTAGCCACTCCTTGGCATATACTCAAAGGAACTGAAAATCGGCACACTACAGGGACACAGCCACATCAATGTTTCTAGCAGCTCAATTCACAATAGCTAAGCTATGGAGCCAACCTAGATGCCCTTCAACAGATGAATGGATAAAGGAAATGGGGTCTATATATACAATGGAATATTACTCAGCCATAAAGAAGAATGACTTTATAGCACTTTCTGGTAAATGGGTGGAACTGGAGACTATCCTGCTGAGAGAAATAAGCTAATCCCCAAAATGCAAAGACCAAATGTTCTCTCTGATATGCAGATACTAACACCCAATAAGAGGAGGGTAGAAGTTCACTGCAATAGACAAAGAGGAATGAAGGGAAGGGAGGGAGATGGGAATGGGAAAGACAGTGGAATGAATGGGACAGAACCTTCCCATGTTCATATGTGAACACACGACTAGGGAAACTCCACATCATGTCCAACCACAAGAATGGGGAGTTAGACTCCATGTATGTGTAACAGGTCAACATACACTCTACTGTTATATGTATCTAAAAAGAACAAATAAGAAATAATAGATAAAAGAACCATCAATTATAGGCAATAAAAGTGACCAGGGAAATATTCAGGGGAGAGCAGAGCAGTGATGGCCATCCTAGTGAACTTCTCTCACTTCATTCAAAATGATCAGAAACAGCTGCTTATTTATTGGGCATGTGACGTTGTGTCGTTTGTCGCCATAGTGCCATTTGATATTTGTGCTTTCTCTTATATTTGTAGTAGGTAAGCTCAGCTAAAGCAGAGGCTATGGGAAACACCCAGTTCTCGATCTGTGTGTGCCATGGTGTGTGTTTACTAAGTATTTATTTGGGGGAGGGAATGGGACAGATAAGGTCATGGAAGGCGTCACAAGTTAACTTACTTGCCCAAGGTCAGTTTGCCTGCTGAATAAAGTCAGCATCCAGACCCGGGGCTGGCCAGGCACGGTGGTGCACGCCTGTAATCCCAGTAACTCAGGAGGCTGAGGCAGGAGGACCACAGATTCAAGGCCGGCCTCAGCAATTTAGTGAGGCCCTAAGCAACTTAGTGCTAAAATCCTGGTGTAAAGTTGGAAAAAAGTCCCTTCTCCACCCAACCTGTTTTCTGATCCGTCAGGTCTTTCAAATGAGTGCCATCTGGGAGTCTGAGGGTCCCCCCTGGCCCCTGGGCAGGCTGATGGTCTTCATCTCCCCAGTGGCTTGGAATTGGGGCAAGGGGCTTGGAGGATGGTGACCCACTCACACGTGCACGGGAGGAAAGAGGGGACCCCTAACTCATAGGTGCTGTGGTGCCAGGTCCCCAAACCCTGAAGCGAAAGTAGAAGAGAGAAGACCAAAGTGCAGCATTGGAAGGTCTCACACAGCTTTGATTCTTAAAGAGACAGAGGGCTCGGATTCCTCTCTCGGGCTGGTGCATTTTATAATCTGAAACAGGCGCCTGGGCTGATAACTGTGCCCAGCTCTGATCCCTGGCACATCAGAGAACTGCTTTTGAGAGGAAAAAAAAGAAAGAAAGAAAGAAAAAAAAAAAAAAACAGGCGTGTGTCTTTAAAGCCTCTCCTTTTTAAATGTGATTTTTTCCGTGCTCCTTTGGAGGCTGCAAAGCTGGGCCTCTGCACAGCCGTCCCCCCCTCCCGGCGGCGGCAGGGGGATTATTGATTTGGAAGGCGAGGCTAATTTACATGTAAATAAATCTCAGCCCTGGGCAGCAGCGGGGCTGGGACGGCCAGATGCCGTGACTGACTTGCTGACATCACGGCCTCATTAGCATGCGGAGGATGCTGGCTCGGCCACAGCGACTTCTCGGGCTCTCGCCAGCCACTCTGCCGACAGTTATTATTATTCTTTTGGCCTGAGCTGCACATTTCCTGGTTCAGTGCCTGGGGCTTTGCGCGAGCAGCTGACTGGTCTCCGGGGTCTGGCTCGGGATCTGTGGGTGACAGCCGCGGCCAGGGTCTGTGACTTCCTTCAGCTCCTCCTGAAGAAGGGGAAGTTCAGAGCAATCTGAGGATCTCAGGCGATCAGAGAGCTCCGGGGGGGGGGGGGACCCGGAGGAAAGGCAGAAGGCACACTTTGCCCCCTGCTTGGTGGGTCCCCCAGCAGGGTCTGCAGCCAGCGATGGTGACATGGTGACGGTGTTTTTCTCCAAGGGAGTGCATACACATAGAAGGGCTCTGGCTTGAGCCCGCTGCCGGCTTGGCTCGGGAAGGGCTCAGATGGGCCAAGGCTTTGGAGGAGAAGAAGATGCTTTGGCTTGCTGAGGTCCTGCCTGCCTTCCTAGAAACCAGATCCAGGCAGAAAGTGAACTGGCTCAATTGAGGAGCGCCGGGGATCGGGTCGGAAGCTTCCTTGGAGACTGGAGCATCTCGGCTTCCCTGGAGGTGGGTAAGAGATCCGCTCTGATTCACAGATGAGCAGCGAGTGTGTGTTCTAGGGACGGTCTCCGGGCAGAGATCTAGGGTCTTTGCCATGGAGGAGGATGCTACCTTGGCCAGCTAGCCCCGGGGGGGTCTGGCACCTTGTGCCTTTGGTTTGTGAGAAACTTCAGTTGCAAGGTTGGTGAGTCACAGGCTCAGGGTGCTTCCGAAGTAGCATTTGTCTGGATGGCACCTTCCTTACAAAGGGTGATCCGGGGGGAAAGGGTTTAAAAGGACAGTCCCTGGTCCCATTTTTCTCAACGGCTGTTATTTCAGTAAAGGGTGTCAGAACATGAGAGGTGCCCGGGCTTGAGGTGGCTCTGATTTCTAGGTAAGGAAATGGCTCCCGAATGATTACCGTTTAGTTTTAAGCCGATAGTCACATGAGGAATGGTGACAGAACTTCAGCCCTGCTGAAGCGTGATTCGGTCCGTTCCCTGCCCTGGGCTCCTCTGGAACCATTCTTGCTTGGTTCTCCTCCTGGCTCTGGGTTTCTCAAAAGCCAGTGACAGCATCACTCATCTGCCACGGGAGCTCTTGGGAAGAAACGCAGATTTTTAAAATCCGGTTCCTTTTCGTTAGAGGATCTTAGACTCTGCTGAGGTCCAGGGAGACTTTTAGGAGCTATAAATAATCCAGGCTGGGGCTGAATCACACCGGGCATGATCCGCGCCAGATGTAATGATCTGGATGTGACTCAGGTTACCTCTCCAGCGACGACCGAGTGGTGCTTGCAGTCTGGAGGGCCCCGTGCGCCCTGAACACACGGGCCCGGCTGCTGTCTGGGCAGGGCCTGCACCTTGTGCGGCGGGGTGAGGTTCGCCCCTCTGCATGTCTTCCCAAAGGGTGCCTGAAACCACCTCAGTGAGACTCACTGCAGGAAGCAGCCTGGCCTCTGTGCTAGAGGCCAGATCGACTGCTCTCCTGCTCCTGGGGAAGGAGGCCTGGCTGTCACAGATGGGTCAGGGCGACTGTCCCCGCAGGCTCCAGAGTCAGTCGGTCGCCACTTTGACAGAATTACCATATTCTGGAAATTTAGCTATTTAGTGCCTCCCTGAGTGCCCGTGAAGGTTTTGCCCCTCCGTCAAATGCTCTGCCCACCCCCTCGGGAATGCTGTTTCTTTTCTAATGTGAAAACGAAAACCCCTTGGCTCCACCAGGCATCGCAGCCTGCACAGAGTCATGGGGTGGCTAGAAATGGCCAAATAGCATGTTTGAAGTAGCGTGTTTTACAGCGTGGGGTAAAGAGGGGACATAGAGGGAGGGGGATGCCTTGTGGAAGCAGAAGGGGTGGTCTGGGGACTAAGCGGTTAAACAGCAGAAGATGCATTTATCCAGGGCTCCCACTGTAAGAGCTGAAGGGACCTAGAGCTGCCCTTTCAAGGGTTGAGCCCTATCTGTAAAATGGGGTGAGCAGCCCAGCCAGTGATCCCAGCAGCTCAGGAGGCTGAGGCAGGAGGATCACGAGTTCAAAGCCAGCCTCAGCAAAAAGCGAGGCCCTAAGCGACTCAGTGAGACCCTGTCTCAAAATAAAATATAGAAAGGGCTGGGGATGTGGGGCTCAGTGGGTAAGCACCCCTGGGTTCAATCCCTAGTACCAAAAAGGGGGGGCGGGGAGCAGTCACACCTATAGGCCAGGGAAAGGACGTCAGGATTTGATGAGGAGACATGAAAAGCACCTGGCACAGTCCCAGCCACTGAGCCAGGGCTTGGTCAACCTTGTTAATTCCTTGTTACCTTCCCGTGGTTCTCACCGGGAGGGTAGCTGGTGAGAACGGAATAGTGGTTGGAGGCAGTCTGTTCCCATGAGTCTCCTGCAGAGAGGGTGCCCCAGAAAAGATGCCCCCGCTCCTTACAGTCCCCACTCCCAGGGACTTCTACCCTCTTGCATTTTGCAGGATGCAAAGTGACCGGATGGGATCAGGAAAATCATTTAGGGCTAGCTGGGCCCCACATCCTTGGAGTAGGCCTCCCGGCTCAGCAGCTGACGAGTCACGTGGACAGAGTTGCAGGGTCCAAATTGGAACCGTTGCATTTCTGGATTTCTCTTCTGCTCCAACTCTGCATGCGAGAGGCTTGTGATCTTTTTTTTTTTTTTTTTATTCTTTTCAGCACAGACACTTAACATTTTCTCCTCCTCCCAGGGAGGCTGTTGGATATGTGTGTTACTTGTGGGTGGCTGAACTGGAGCGTAAGGGTTGGCTCTAAGGGAAAGGAATGGCCTCCCCTGGCCACCTGCCTGTGGCCCTGCTTTCTGGCTCTGTCTTGTGTCCCTGCCATGCTAGATCTTTCCAGACTTGGGATCTTCCTGCTTCATGCTAGTGAGCTGGCCCACGCCTATCATCCCAGTGGCTCTGGAGGCTGAGGCAGGTGGATCGCGAGTTCAAAGCCAGCCTCAGCCAAAGTGAGGCCCTCAGCAACTCAGCGAGACCCTGTCTGTAAATAAAATATAAAATAGGGCTGGGGATGGGGCTCGGTGGCCGAGTGCCTTTGGAGGAGATAGAGTGAATTGAAGGAGCCAGAGGACTCTGGCTTATAATGCTTTCTTAAGAAAATTAGAATTGGAGTTGATAGTTGCTGGTTGTTATTGATCTTAGTAGAGCTGTTTCACACAGAGAACAAGCTTTAGACCTGATGCTAGCCCACCTCTGTTGCCTCCTGATCCGCACTGTGTCATCTTGGGACAGTGGCCTGACCTCTCTGAACTTGGCTTCTTCATCTGTGAGTTTCCCTGAACACACAGTATTGCTGTGAAGACCGAGGCCGGGCTTCATTTTTAGTGCTGTTGATCCCCATATTTCCCATTTAGTCTCAACCTGTGAGCAACAGGGGGCAGTAGGGGGGTTTTGTTTGTTATATCAGGGACTGAACCCAGAGGTGCTTAACCACCGAGCCACATCCACAGTCCGTTATTTATTTTTTTATTTGGAGACAGGGTCTCCCTAGGTTGCTTACACCTTGCTAAATGGCTGAGGCTGGCTCTGAACATTTTGAACACATGAGCCTCCTGCCTCAGTCTCCTGGGTTCAATCCCTGGTACCAAAGGGGGAAAAAATGAGCTGGCAATTTGTGGCCCTCCCTTCTTCCTGCTGTCCTGGGGCACTGGAGGCCACAGCAGCCGGTCCTCTCCGAAGGTGTAGAGTACGGGTGGACCTTGAGCATGGAGGGTGTGGAGCACAGGTGGAGGCTGAGGCAGGAGGATCACGAGTTCAAAGCCAGCCTCAGCAAAAGTGAGGCCCTAAGCAACTTTCATTTACCTCTGCTATTCTCACCCTGGTGCACCGTTGGCCTCGACTCCGTCCTCCCTCTTGGCTCCTTGAAAATCAAACTTTATAAATATTACCCAGCCCCATCCAGGGTTAAGAATAACTGGGACAAAAATTCTTAGCATTTCGTTTCATCTGGGCACCCTGCCATTTCTCCAGCTCTTTCCTTGGCTGCGATTCATCAGTTATGAGTCCTCGGAGATACTTGTTGGTGAAGGTTCCAGAACTCATCGGAGAAACGGTGATACTCTGTGCTCACCACGTCGGGAGTGGCCTCAGGGTAGCGGCAGTGGATGGAAATGGATGTTTGGGGTGTCCGTGTGGCTGCAGGCCGCCTGTGTGTTAGTGTTTGTGTGGACAGAAGAAATACTGCCGTGGACTGGGCACCTACCGTGTGGTGTAGGCAGCGTGCCTGACACCACTTGTTAATTCCTGCAGCACTTTACAGCGGGATGCTGTTAGCTTTATTTAGAATCAAGAAACCAGCTGGGCGTGATGGTGCACGCCTGTCCTCCCAGTGACTGGGGAGGCCGAGGCAGGAGGATCGCCAGTTCAAAGCCAGCCTCAGCAACTTGGCGAGGCCCTAAGCAACTCAGTGAGACCCTGTCTCTAAATAAATACAAAATAGGGCTGGGGATGGAGCTCAGTGGTCAAGTGCTCCTGAGTTCCATCCCTCCTACCAAAAAAAAGGGCTGAATCCAATCTTGTCAGCAAAGAGCTCTAACAGGGGCTGTTGGCTGCTCTTGAGGGGAACTGAAAGGTCAGGATTCACACCAGGACCCACTTGTCTTGTGAAAGTGTGCAGAGCCCTGGGCCCTCCAGAGAATGACCAGGAGCTGCCTGCAGAACATCTGGCCTTTGGATGCATCACCCTGCGGGTGGGGGGTGGGGGGGTGGGGTGTCTCTCCTTCTCTCTGGAAGCTCTGTGAGGCTGTGTCATGCAGAGGCACCCTACAGAGTGCCCGGGTCCAGGGTCCACACGTCTGAGCTCTGAGCCAGCACCTGGAGTTGTTGAAATGCAGATTCTGCATCCTTACCCAGCTCTCTGCTGCTGCTCCTGCTGTTTTCCACAGGAAAGACAATTTGACTAAATTCAGAAACCCCAGGTTGTTGTCCACGTCATTTGTCTCATTTGAGTGCAACTCATAGAAATCACTTTGTTGCTCCATGACTCGGTTTCTTCTGCCCAGAATAATGAAAATAATGAGTAGCTGACATTAAATGACGGCTGAAGGTGTGCTGGACTCCCTGTTGGAGACGCTATCTCTTAATTCACCCTCACCTTTTGTGGTGGGTTCTGTTATCATCTCCATTCTACAATAACTAAGCACAGAGAGTTTGAATAACTTGCCCAAGATCACACAGCTGGTAAATAGTCCATCAGAATCCATCTGATTCTGAAGCCTTCACAACTTAAAAGTCGATAGATGTGGGGACTTACCACGTGCGTGTGTTCGTTCCAAGGATTGAACCCAGAGGTGCTTTATCATTGAACCACATCCCCAGCCCTCTTGATTTTTTATTTTGAGCCGAGGTCTCACTGAGTTGCTTAGGGCCTCACTACTTTGCTGAGGCTGCCTTGAACTCGTGATCCTCCTGCTTCAGCCTCCCCAGCCGGGATCACAGCCAGACAAGATGATATTGTTTTTACATTGTTCCAACTTACGTGCAGTTGGAGGCTTTGGAAATTTCTGCAGA